TTGCCTTCGGACATAAGCAGCACCTTAAGTCAATTGCGGCTGCATATTGGAAACCTCAGTCTAATTCCCTGTTGAATTCATTGCCGTCACTGGCTAACATTAATGGCACAGGAAGTGGAAATATAGTTTCATCCCAGTTAGGTCCTTTGGTTCGAGTTGGAAATGACAACTCAGCGGTTGTTCGGGATGGAAGGGTTTCCACGAGCAGTCCTCTTGCTAGTGCTGGAATCATGCATGGATCTCCATTCTCTGATGATTCATCTCAACATTCTGATTCAGGAATATTGAATGACAGTAATGGTGTCGTTCATCGTTCAAGGCTGAGACATTTGGACAATGCAATTTATTCAAAATGTGTTCTGGCGATGTGTACTTTAGCTAAGGACCCATCTCCACGCATAGCAAATCTAGGCCGGTGGGTTCTTTCTATTATCGGGATTGAACAAGTAACAAAATCTGTGAAGTCTGCTGGTAGCGGTGCCAGGCCTGGGGAACCCACAACTTCCTCTCCAACTCCTAGTTTTGCTGGATTAGCTCGTTCTTCTTCATCATTTGACATGAATGGAGGTAACTATTTTGTTCTCAGTTCCTCATAATGCATATCCTGATTATTGTCACCCTTTCTTTTCCCTGATATCTGCTTGCCATGGTGCTATCTTTTATTCTATTTAGACATTAAAGTTACAATATTTAATTTGGAGATGATATTGACAGGTCATCCGCCTTTAACATTTAGAACTCCTCCAGTTAGCCCTCCTCGACAAAATTACTTGACAGGAATTCGTAGAGTTTACTCTTTAGAGTTGGGGCCTCGCCTGTTGAATTCCCCTGACTCAGGATTAGCTGACCCGCTTCTAGGCTCTGGTTCTGTGGTTGCAGAGCGCAGTTTACTTCCACAATCAACTATCTATAATTTTAGTTGTGGCCACTTCTCCAAGCCACTTCTTACTGCATCTGATGATAGTGAAGAACTACTGGCCAGAAGAGAAGAGCGGGAGAGATTTGCACTGGAGCATATTGCTAAATGCCAGCACTCATGTATGCCTTTTAACTTATTTGTTTTTTGTTCTTTTTATACTATTCTTATGCCAGTTTTTTTGTTGGAACTGATAGGTTTCTCTTTGTCTTTGCAGCTGTTAGCAAACTTAACAATAATAGTCAAATTGCTAGCTGTGATACAAGATTTGAGACAGGTACAAGAACAGCCTTGCTGCAACCTTTCTCTCCTGTTGTGATTGCAGCAGATGAGAATGAACGGATCAGGTATGTGATTTCTGGTTTAGTGGATTCTTAAAGCAAGTCATTCCTGGTTTGAATGTTAAATGATTTGAGATAACATGCCATCAGGAATTGATTTTTTACTCATGTTCAACCCATGGGTATGAGTATTAACTGAAAGTAATATATCTATTGGGGTGAATTGACTTATAATCCTGTGCCTTGATAATTTTATTAAAATTATAAACCTATTACTAGAAGATTATAACTGTAAAATTATCAATTGATAATCATAACTTGTCATCTCATTGAAACTAACAATTATCGGTAAAGGTTTTTAAAATTGTGAATGAGATGGTGAACTGTAATCATTGATGGTCTATAAAGTTATAAACTAGAAATGCATCAATTTGAATCTTATTAATATAGATTTTAAAAAAGATCTGACAAGGTGGCAAGTTTTGATTCACATTGTGTGCATCAGATGCAAACGCTTAAAGAGGATTGATATTTAGTGTTTCTTAGAAGTTCTGTTGCTAAACTACAATTAGTTTTCTTCATGAAAGGTTATATATTGTAAATTGCTTTCTGCAAGTGGCTTTTGTTTTGGTACTTAAAAATGGCAATGCTTCTGAAATGGGTTCATGAGTTTGGTGCTGCTCATTATATGTTGGTCTTAGTGACTCTTTCAAAATTTATTTCTGGAAATTATTTGCTGGCATATTAATTGTGTGGTTTTTCTTTTCAGGATATGGAATTATGAGGAATCCACCCTCCTGAATGGTTTTGATAATCATGATTTTCCGGAGAAGGGAATTTCTAAACTGTGTCTTTTGAATGAGCTTGATGACAGCTTGCTGCTTGTTGCTTCATGTAATATTCTTTTCCACCTTTATTAATGTTTCATGATGGTTTTTGTTTTGTAAAATTAATTTAGGGCTTATCTCATGCAGGTGATGGAAATATCCGGGTTTGGAAAGATTATACGCTGAGGGGCCAACAGAAACTCGTTACTGCATTTTCTTCAATCCAAGGTCACAAACCTGGTGTGCGGAGTTTGAGGGCGGTTGTGGACTGGCAGCAGCAGTCTGGATATCTTGTATGTAATTTTTCTAGAATGTTATCTAAGAACATTTTCGTTGCTTATAGTTTGATGCCTAATATAGTATTTTTTGTTGCTCTGATATCACCTGACTAGTATTCTTCTGGAGAAATATCCTTCATGCTTTGGGATGTGGATAAGGAGCAGCTTGTTAGTTCAATACTGTCGTCCTCAGATTGCAGCATCTCAGCACTGGTGAGTCTTCAATCTCCTTTGCATTTATATTAAGTTTTTTAACAATTGGATTCAGCATGCTTGTATACATGCCACTAGCAACTGGTAACTTCTTGAAGAAGTAATCTTGCAGAATGTACAAGTTTGGAAAAATTGCTGCATATCGCCATAAAGTTGTCAAATAAGAAGCATGCTATAGTGGAAAATGTGCTATGCTGGAAAATTTGTTAAGTTTTATTAATTTGGGTGCTTTCCTGAATATTTAGTTAACCGAGCCAATGGTTAACAGAATTCTCTTGGATTTTTTGTTAAAGGAGGTTATTGTTTCTGTTCCAGTTATATGTTAAGATTGCTTGAATCATACATTGCCTTTGCATTTGATTTAAGTTGTTTCTTGGGTTTGATGTGTAAATTAAGATAGCTGTGGTGTTTCTTTTTGATTTTTGATTCTTTTTGTTTGTCCTGACTTACTTTTCAACTTGGAATGTGAAATTTTATCCCATTCTTGGTGAAGAATTAAAGTGGCATGTGATTTTTCCATTTTTATCTTCATTAAAGATCTAGCTCTTGTATTTTTATCTTGTCATCTGATTTTCGGTGCCCATTCTTAGTTTCTTTTTCTCTTTTTTCTTTTTAATTTTGGAGTTTACCTCATGTTGCACATATTCCTCATTGATTTTTTTCCCCCCACATTTACAGGCTTCTTCTCAAGTTCATGCTGGTCAATTTGTGGCTGGTTTTGTGGATGGATCTGTCAGACTCTATGACAGCCGAACACCTGACTCGTAAGCACTCTATAATGAATTTTTTATTGTTTTTTGAGAAGATAATGAACAAATGACTCAGTTTTTACCTGTTTGTGAGCTTTGAATATGTGACCTTCCTTATAGTTAATTTTAGGGATAATACCCCATCTGGCCCTTGAATTATTGTAATTTTTCTAATATGTTATTTAAACTAAAAAAATTTTTAATCAGGTATTTAAACTTTATTTTCATATATTAAATTTCTCTAACCCTTTAACACCATTAGAATAACATCTATGTAGCACTTAAATGCTGATGTGGATGACATGTGGTTATCATGTGGCAGCCGCATGTCATTTTTAAAAATAAAAAAAATAAAATTTTCATAGAAATTTTGTTTTAGAAACATTTTTATTTTTAAAATTGACATGACAGCCAATCACTGTCGCATGGCAGCCATGTGTCATCTGTGTCAGTATTTAAATGCCACATCAGCATTATTCTGATGGTGTTAGGGGTTGGGGCAATTTAATAAATGGAAATGAAGTTTAGATACCCATTAGAAATTTTTTGTTTAGGTACCACATTAGAAAAAATGCAATAGTTTAGGTGCTGTTTAAGATATTATCCCTTAATTTTATTCCCGTGACCTTACTGTTTAAAGCTGCTATAGTCAACTAGTGGAAGTGAAGTAGCTTATAATGAGTTTATTACTATTATTTTGCTTGTCCATCAGTCATCACTATACACTTTGATATTGCTCTCATAATCTCAGCAAACTCGACCGTCTTTGCAGTGCTTAACATCCACCTCCATTTATTACTTGTCTTCCTCTTATTTTTCAGAAGAAAATGCTTAGATGTTCTCATCTGAATTTTCTGATCCAAGATTGTCATTTTAATCTTTTAGGCTGGTTTGCACTACTAGGCCACATACTCAACAAGTAGAAAGAGTTATGGGTATCGGCTTTCAACCTGGACTTGATCAAGGAAAGGTAAGCAGGTTACTGGTCTTATGTCTGGTAAAAAGAGATGTTCAATTGTTGTTGTCATCATCCTTGTTCCTCATTGAACAGAAGTTGATATTAGAAGTTTTGATTGAGGAAATACAGAAAGTTGAACTTTTCATTTCATTTTTCAGATTGTTAGTGCATCCCAGGCTGGTGATATTCAGTTCCTTGATATTAGAAGTCAAAGAGATGCTTACCTTACAATCGATGCTCACAGGGGCTCACTTACAGCTTTAGCTGTTCATAGACATGCCCCAATTATTGCCAGTGGCTCAGCGAAACAGCTAATCAAAGTCTTCAGTCTGGAAGGGGAACAACTAGGCACCATTCGATACCAACATACCTTCATGGCCCAGAAGATTGGTTCTGTGAACTGCCTTACCTTCCATCCCTACCAAGTATTGCTTGCTGCTGGTTCTGCTGATTCCTGTGTTTCTATCTACGCTGATGACAACTCTCAGACAAGATGAACTTCTAATTCTTTCCCAATTTCACGAATCCAGGTAGCACACAGTGCATGTAAGTGTCAGCATAAATTTCATGGTGTCAGAGATACGGGTTAATGGTTGCAATATTTGAGTTTGAATCGTATCATTCGACTGTTTGGGATGGTGCTGCCACATTTACAATTTCACTTTGGGTGTTACCTGGAAATTCAGGGATGGGGGCGTACAATCAGCAGATTGTGTGCTATACATAGGGTATAATTCATTAGCCTCCGGTTTAGATGGTCACTTGTTTGAAAGAAATCCCATCGTCCACATATTCATGGGGGGCTTTGTCAAATAATTTGTTATAAATGGGTAAATTGCTTGTAAGTAGATTTTACATTGTTCCTTCGTCTTCATCCTTTTCAAGTGTGTTCATTGTTCCATCTGTTTGTTTAATTTGTAAAAAAAAAATGTCATTATAATAATTCAAGTATTGCAAGCAGATTGGTCACGGAAGAGCCCCAAGTGAAAAATTCTTAAATCTAGACCGAATATTGGTTGCCTTCTAATGAAATCACCTTAATTGGAGCACCGAATTGGTAGTTTTAGTAGCAATCAAAACTATGGCGGTGGTGATGGCGGTGGCGGTGGCAGAGGCTATAAACAACTTAGGCACAACCCATGAAAATCTATACGTATATGACAATAATAATGAATCACAAATCAATTTAAAAGATAAATCCACGTTAGATACGGATTTACACCGTATTCACATGGACATATCCTTGCATAAAGCCGAAAGTGTCTTCACTTCCTTCCACCAACCATACCTTGCGTAGAAGAACCTGACAAGCTAGGCGATGTACTGCTTGTCATCTTAAGCCTTCCATCGGCATTTCCAAGCACATTCAAATCTTCAAACAATCTGTATGATGGAATAAAGAGCTTCCGTCCAGACACAGGAGCTGGGTTCCTAGGACCTACACCCGCCCAAGAATCCCTATTCATCATTGCTCCGTTGCTTCTTGTGGGGAATGGGTTAACGTGCTGAAAGGGTCTACTCCCTATCACGGGGTTTGATGTGGCAGCGTTCACATGGGGAGTAGAAAACATGTTATTTGGTGACGAAAGGTGATTTTGGCCGTTGAAATTACCTGGAGTGGCGGCCCATGGCGGAGGGGGATACCCAGATGAGTATTGAGGATATTGAGATTGAAAATGTGGCTGATATTGTAAGAATGATTGGGTTCGATTTTGGGACTGTGCTTGCAGCTGTGGTTGAGTTTGCTGTTGTGCTTGATGCTGAGATTTGTATTGTGCCTGCAACTGCAGTGATTGGGACTGTAACTGGAGTTGGGGTTGGGATTGTGTTTGGAACTGATGTTGGGCCTGAGACAATGAACTTGACTGGATTTGAGTCTGGGGTTCTGCCTGGAACTGGCTCTGGGGTGGGGATTGTGGATCAATTTGAGGTTGGGGTTGAGGTTGTACTTGTACCTTTTGTAGGGAATGATACTGTTGCAGGACTTGCGGCTGGGATGATTTCTGAGGGTGAGGCTGGGCCCAAGGAACAACATAACTATTATATGGCAGCTGTCCCTGACTTCCAGGGTACGCTAGGGAAGCGTAAGGATATCCTTCGGTGCTAGGAGGAACAGGTACCTGATGTATATTTTGGTGAGATGCAGATGGTGTAGGAGGGGTAGGGGGGAAGGAAGCTGATGTTGACAAGGTGAGGCTTAGAAGATCAATCAAGTCCTGCTCTTTTGTAGTCCTAACTGGTGCAGGTGCAGGTGCATCTGGCAAAGCTAATGCATTGCTCGGAGTAGAGGCTGAGGCTGTTGGCACATATGAAGTTGTTCCAGTAGTATTATTGATTGGCACAATAGCTTGACTTCTTCCAGCAGATGTACTCTGAGAAGACGTCGACTCTGCTCTGGAATGCCTGCATTCAGAACAAAATGTGAACCAGTCAAGAACTGAGCCAAACTGAACACATTTAAAACTATGATAATTGATCATAGACATAGGAACAGGTCAACAAGCTCTCGGCCTTCTACAAAGGATAAGAATAGTTACCAAGGCTTGAGATGGTTTCCACTGAAAAGATTTTGACTAGTATGTCTATACAAACTTATAAGCCAAGTGCATTTCTTTTGTCTTTTAACAAAAAAGAACAAATAAATTATCATGGGATGTGATTAATGCTCTGATTCTCTCTAGGTGGATTTTGCCTAACTATAAGCCTGTATACACAAACATAAAATTAGTCATTTCTAGGATAGTGACAGGAAATATAAGATGAATTTAGAGGTTAATGTATGAAACCTTCTAGCTAGCTGTGCAAAATCATCTTCCTCTTCATCAATCTGGCTTCTTGTCACAGTAGCAACTGGTGCAGGTGGACTGATATTAGGTGCTGGGTTTGAATTCTTCACTTCATTTGATTTGTTGGAGGTACTTGCTTCAGTTGGCTTGGAGCTTACACTTGTAACTTGAATTGGAAGGAGAGAACCTGAAGCTATGGCATCATGTTTTGCAAGTAAGCTTTGCAGACCATCATTTAGTTCAAGACCTCGAGCTAGAAGTTCCTCATCTCTGCCACATAGCCAAGAAAAAACCTTTGCTATCCACACATAGACCATGTGCAAAAGAAAGAACTTCTGATAAAATCCACACACGTCATGTGAAAACAAAGAAACACAAGTACACAGGTGGATGCCATAGATAACAAGAGGAGCATGAAGATGATAATTAAAAGAAATGCTTTCGAGACCAAGGACTTTAAATCCCTAGGTGCACACCCATTGTTAGTCCTAGATTTTCCAACCATGGGCCCAACAATTGGGCAGAGCAACCTGATAGATGAATTAATGAACAAAGATAATAGAGAAGGCTATTTACAAAAAGTCATTAATGCCATTTCAAGAAGATAAATTTGGTGACAACTAACCCAGTAGTTGTAAGCATCTGCATCAACTTTTTTTGGTTGGAACGACATCGGTTGACAAGATCAACTATCACTTCATCTTTTACTGCCTGCCAATACAAATAAAGAGTACAGTTAAAGATTTTACTCTCAAATTAAATTAAAGGTTTTATTATTTTTTGTTCATACCACACTGTCACTGGGGTTTACAGCTAGCAGCATGTCACTTAAGAGCTCGTTAACATCCCTCATAGAGTCCAAGCTAGACAAACTAAGATAATCAAAGAAAATTTCAGCCAAAGGAACAGGACAAAAACACCTATAGAAGAACACAAACTTTATAAACAAAACTAAATTGAATTAAGACCTTAAACTTTCAATTTCTGTAGCCATTGTTTCGTCAAGCCTTCTAGAAGAATTGCTTGGCATTCCATAACCGGGGTGATTCAGGGTTGCACGTGTAGCAGGTAGTGCAAAGATAGGAGCTGCATCCGATGAACGCTTGGGAAATACTACTCCAGAACGCTGCCATTGCACAGTCATAATTTTAGATTCACTAGAGTAGTCAAAGACAATGAGAGTATTTGATCTTAGAAGTGGAAATCCTTGGATATTATGTCCTTGATGACAGTCCAATATGACATCTAACTACTTACCCTTAGCTCATCATATGCCCTGTAGTACTGAGGATGTTTACCCCCAGGACCACCAAATGCCTCCTGCCAAGAGTCCAACAAAGCCAAGATTTTGTCCCTCACTAGCATATCCGCCTGCAGAATTCAGTCGGTCAGGCTCATTAAAACTGACAGAAAGATTGAGATTTTAAATAGAAAGAGATGACAGATGAAGCATTTAGATTGATAATGTTTAACAAATAATACTACTAATAAAAAAGTCATATACCAGAAAAAGAATGTGAGAACAATATCAAAATAAATAGAAATGAGGTGCTGAATCCATGCATCAAAAGTCAAAACATGCATAAGGAAAAAAAAAAAAAAAAACTACATTTCAGCCAAGGTAATGCCTTGGTAAAATAACTCTAGTATCAGTCCTTGGTTCAAGAACACCAGTATCAGTCAAATAGGGGATGCAAATATGGCTGCTACTATGTAGTGCATAGGTTCAGAACACTAGTATCAGTCAAATAGGGGATGCAAATATGGCTGCTAGTATGTAGTACATAGATTCAGACACTAGTATCAGTCATCAGTTGAAGTGAATGCCAAGCATCTTCAATAGAGAAATAAGATTGTCTTCTTTCACAGGACTTATGCTACATCATTAATTTTCCTCCAACCACATGCGCAAATCTTCATTCCATAATTACATTCCCAGCCTTTCTTGCTTTTATTGTAGACTTTTGCTCGCAATGACCCCTTTAAGCCTAATGGCTATGAGCTAGTTCTATGCATTCTAAAGGCCATTGAATTAAGATAACCATAAAAGAGGAAAAAAGTAGCAAAAATCCTTTCTGAAAAAGGCAAAAAGTAAGCAACAAATAGTTTTAACCAGAAGAATATGACCAACAATTCATGTAATAATTGAATCAGTAAAATCAAAAACTTACCTTCTTCCTCACAATTTTGACCATCTCCCCTAATATATTCCTCTCAGCAATCTGAAAATGAACATAGTCACCACAATTCTTCACCATTGTCTCCAAAAGCTACAAAGGGAAAATGACACGTGGTTAACCCACAAACACACCTCAAACATGAAATCCCCAAGAAACCAAAAAGGGAATTTCCAACAAATTTACCGTCAAAGCTAGTAATTGCACTTTAGAACTCTTGTGCTGCAACCTTTTCTTGACAGCCTTTACAACATCCTTTGCTTGCCTGACAAATTCACATCCACAGTCCAACCATATCATAAACAGTCATGACTTTAATAGAAACAGTGAAGAAACTAAAACAAATCAATTATTTTTTTTTAGTTAAATGATTTTTTAGTTAATAAATACCAACATAATAGCATGCAAGTAAAAATTAAGAAATTAAACTGAAAAAAATTCAAAGTCAACCCCTTTACAACAAAACAAAAATTAAAACTTTTTACCAATGATTAGAATTAACAGAATCACAAATATCGATGTTCATAGTCCAGTCAGGAGCGATTAGAAGATCGCTCGTTGCCTTGTCTACTGCTATTGTTGCTGCTGCGGAAGTCGCTGATGACATCATCGTCATCATCTTTGCTCTTATCTTCTCTTCCCTTCCCTTTACAATAAAACAATGGTTTCTGCTTGTTTCCCGAGAAAATTCAAAAAAAAGAAACAACAACCTCAAAATTTTCCCCGGCAAAAAGGTCCTTTTCCTTGCCGTTCTGTTTGGATGGCTAGAAAAGAAAATACAAAACAAACCCTGGAGTAGGATACAGAAAGGAAAATTCTTTGCTTTCCTTTCAAAGATCTTTAAAGCAGGCAACTTTTATTTCATTTGTAATTTGTAAATTTTCTGCGGAAATTTCGTTTCTTTTATTATTAAAGTTATTTTTTTTCAGTTTATTTTTTTGCACTTTCCGTTGTTCTCAACCAGCTTAGCTTAGGAGGCCTCCTCTCCGTTAGTTCGATGGCTGACGCGCAATTTGATGTCGTGAATGAAACGCGCTGCGTTGGCGTAATCTTATGGTATGAATGGTTTTGCAGAAATTCCGAAGAGCAATTGCTAGGTACGGAGATGAATTTACAGAAAACTCCTTTTCCCCACTTTTCTCTCAATTTTTGGCTGTAAATAAATAAAGAGCATACTAATAATAACCAGGGTGAAGCCCACGTTTCACCATGGTTTTTAATTTTTATATTATTTGTTAATTTATTATTATTGTTACGAATAAATATTGTAAAAATTTTATAAATCTATATAATATTTGCAAAAAAAATTGTAAACTATCAGTTGATAGATAAAATACTTAATTTTTAAAATATTTAAAGTTTTAAAGGTACATTAAAAAAATCATTATTACTTGAAGAAAAATGCACTCAATAATGAAAGTATTTTTCATTTTTTTATTTGAAAAAATTCACAAACTAATAGACGGAGTAATAAGAATGATACAATTAAACATCAAATTTAATCTAAAAATTTATGGTTAAAATACTTAATTTGAAATTAAACATTTAGATGATTTTTTAATTCAAAACTAAACGTTTTAATTTATACAAATAAAAATTAAATATTATTGATTTCTAACAATATAAAATTTTTTTCAACAAAAATCTTGCTATGAAAGATACATATCGTTATCATGCATGAAAGAATAAAATCAAGCTGAGTTGGTTATTTCATAGTGATTAAGTTAGAAATTGGCACATGAGATAGAAGTGTTCTTCATTTTTCTCTCTAAAAGAGTAATTAGTTCTTTTTTAAAAAAAAAAAATTATTTTCAATCAATCTTCAAAACTCAAATTTTTGCTACTATTTTGTTGTTGTAATAAGTTTTGATGCTAATGAAGTTGGTGAAGAGTGAGATCTATACTTTAATTAGTGTTGATGGTGGATTAGTGATGATGGTGGTGAGGTCAATATATAACAAAAAAAGCTTGCAATAATCTTTTAAAGAATCACTTTTTCTAAGCTGTGAAAGATTAGGACATGAAAACAGTTTCAATTTTTTACCTTAAATGTTAAAAAAGCCAAGCAAGTTAAAGGGTACTCATGCCAACTACTATTATTCTCATTCGTGAAATCTTTGCTTAAAAGATTATTGCTTGCTGTATCGGTGGTGGTATTGCGACAGAAGTACAACCCTTCACCACTGCATAAAATTTAAGTCGTTAGCCATTTTTAGTAGCCTAAAATCAATATATAAACTTTCAAACACCTAACTCTTAATTCCACATTTTCTTAAATGAATTGGGTAGAAAAGAAATATGGGTAAAGTAGGGAGAATGGACGCCACTGACTTTTTTTTTTGTGTGAAAAAAATAATAGAGAGAAAAGAAAAAAATAGTATAAAATTTAGATAGAATAAGAAGAAAGAAGAAATCATGGTGCAGATTTTGCATACTTACAGACTTCAGTTCGTAAAAAAGAAGAGAAATGATAAAGAAAAAGAGAAAATGAAATGAAATAGGCTTAGAAAAAAAAAAGATAAAAGCCTTTACATCTATCATTCAAGGATTGGAAGCTTAATTATACGTTATTTTTTTTTGTAATAGTTTTTAAACTTAATGGCGCGTATCTTTCACAGTAAATTTTTTATTGAAAAAAATTATACATTGTTATAAATCGATAACATTTAATTCTTATTTGTATAAATTAAAACGTTTAGTCTTAAATTGAGCAATCACTCAAACGTTTAATCTCAATTTGAGCATTTAGCCAAAAATTATTGATATTAATATAAACAATCTTAAACTTATTACCCAAGAAATCAAGGTTAAAACAAAATGACAATTTGAATGGTAAAACAACATAAATCCTTCACAAACTTAGAGGGAAGATGCATGCAAAGATATATTACTTTTGTGTAAGATATGTAAAAATAGATCATTAAAATTAATTTATAAAAACTTAAACAACTACATCTAAGAAAGTACAAAGACAAAATCTTAAAAAAAAAAGTAGTGAGATGATCATAAATATATAAATAAAGCATTTAACACAAAAAAAAAGACCAACAAAAACTCAATATAGTAAAAAAAAAATCAACCTTAAAATCATAAATAAAATTTTAAAAAAATAAAAAATATCATCACATGCATTAAGACAATTCTATCAAACGAAAAATAACCTAAAAATGCAAACAAATAAAAGATTAGCTCCAAAAAAATCAAATATCGAACAAATTAGGTTTTTTTCTTTTTATTTTTGCCATTGTCTTGGCATAAACTCAACAATTTGATGACAAAAAAAAAGGTATTGGGTGAAAAAGAATGAAAAAAAATAAGAAATGAAAATAATGATTCGAAAAAAAAATGAAAAAATAGAATGAGAAAAGTTTTTTGATTTTTCTATTTAGATCTTTCTACTTCTTTTCTCTCCATTTTCTTTCCCTCATAACTTTTCTATGTCTCTCGTTTTTTTTTTTTTTCAAACAACCTGCATTTTTGCTTATCAAACTTCCTTCTATTCCTTTATTTTTTTTACTTTTCTAATAAACACATGACACATGCTATTTCCTATCTTCATGTAATGTTATATTTTTTGTCCAATACCATATGATCTGAAAAAACCTGTAAATATCCTCAATAATCAAAAGAAAATCTTCATTTTACTTTCTAAAAAGCTATCCACTGTAAAATTTTTGAGAAATTAGAACCCTTAATTATTAACTAAAAAATAAAAGGGTAATATAGTTATTTTACTATAAAGGACATCTATCATTCCCTAAGACTTTTTAGGGATATTTTGTTATAGTTTATAGATATAAACATATTTATTTATAAGAATATATTATATTAAAAATTAATGTGAAATTTAGTTAAATTATTATTATATAAAAGGAGGGATTTTTTAAAATTTAATTATATTAAAAAATTTGTGGCCGACTTTGTTTTCCTTCATGCAATTATGTCAACCGCGTGTCTAATTATTAATTTTATTTACAATAATTTGAATTTAATATTAAAAAAATTAATATTTTATTCGAAAACCTAATTATTAATTTTTTTAACTTAGAAAATCAGTTTGAACTTGAGGAAAAAAATTAAAAATGACATGAAAATTGAAATCGAAAATAATATGAATTATGTTTCTATCTTGCTAAAATAGTAATAAAAAAATTGAAGAACCTTTTTTTTTTTTCTCAAAATTTCTTTCTTGTTGAATCTCATTGTTTCTTCCTAAAGAAGAAATTTGGTTTCATTAAAAATGGAAGAAGGAATCAATTTCTCTTTCTTAAAATTAAACTTGATAAAAATTGATATGTAGACATCATAATTGATCCGGGCCTAAGCCTTTTGAACCTGATCCAACAGGGTTTAGGCCAATGTTTATTGGGCCTGATTCAATGAGGCCAAGTAGTTGGCCCAATTGTTTGTTATTTTATTTTTATTTTTTATTATTTATTTTATTTTAAGATAATATGACATTAGTTAAAAAAAAAGAAAAATATAAATTCTGCCGTGTATAGGCACTGGCAGAATTGCAATTGGTTTCAATCTCTCCAGAATAATTCTCAGGCTTTCTGATAATGTGAAAATCTAATCGAAGAGGGACTCCTAACTGATTAGAAATTTTTATGATATGATTCTATAAATACATACACAGCCACACAGAAACATAATAGAAAGGAGAGATCACAGAAATACATGGAAATCAGAAGATTAGAAATACATATAGGTTAATCAAATAGGTTAATCAAATAGGTCACACATAGATACACAGGTAAGTAATTAGAGAATAGAACACAGAAAAATAACATAAATAAAAACACAACAAGCATTCAAAATTTTTTTTTGAAGATTTTTGGGGTTTAGAGAAAAAAAGAGATTTTTTTGAAAAATCTAAAAAATTCTCAGATTTATGAAAAATTTTCAGTTTTTGGTGAATTTTTTGGCATCGATTGAATTTTTTAATAAGTTTTTCGATACCAGTTGAATTTTTTGGCAAGCTTCTCAGAATCCAGTTAAAGATTTCAGCTTACTGTAATTTTCGGTGAACCAACCCAAATTTCGACGGTGTTTTCCAGAATCTAGTGGAGATTCAATCGGAGTTCATTCGATTTTAGAAAGAGAGGAAAAAAAAAGAAGAGAGAGAAGGGGAAGGTGAAATCTGAAGGAAAAGGCTAGGAGTTGCCTTTTATAGTAGTTCCAAAACGATATCGTTTTGACATTTTAATTTACCCTAAGATCCGTACGTTTTACCGCTTGGGCGACTCAACTTGAGCGCTTGACCCGCTTCAACCTGCATCCCTGCCTTTGGTTCCAGTTGAGCCGAGTTGTAAACCCAACCACCAAGCTGAGTCTCCAAGTCGTCTTCTGAATCTAAAACCAAGCCGATTCGAATCGGTCTAGCTGAGCTACTTCTATTTTTTTGGTATTTTTTATTTTATTTAATATTTAATTTATGTGTTTGTTTTTTCAGTTTTTTTATTAAATTTGAAAAAATAATAAAAGGAAAAAAATAAAATAAATTTTGAGAATAAATATTAATTATCCAATGATGGAATTTATAGAAATTTTAAATGATAAATTTTTATAAAATTTTTAGGTAAGAAATTTTGTCTAAATTTGTCCCAAATTGTGAAATAATGTAGATAAAGTTTTAATAACAATAATTAATATTTATTTTCAAAACAAAAAAAGAAGAAAAATAAAAAAAAATAAAAATTTTGGAATTAAATACAAATTATCCAATGATGAGATTTTTAGAAATTTCAAATGGTAAATTTTTAAAAAATCTCTATGTGAGAAATTTCTCTAAATTCATCCTAAATGGTAGAATAATTTAGATGAAATTTCAATAAAAGTAATTGTATTCTTTTCCAAATAAAATTTTTTGGTTGAAAAATATTTGATAATTATCTAAGGACGAGAATCTTAAAAATCTTTTGGTGAGAAATTTCTTTAAATTTATCATAAATGGTGGAAGAATTTAAATGAAATTTCAATAAAAATAATTGTCATATTATTTTCTTTTTGAAAACAAAAAAAAATAAAAAAAATTTAAATAGGCCCAAATGGTGAAAAATTTAGAATTTTGAAAAAATTTTTTTTAAATTGACCAAAATGGTAAAAAATTTAGAAATCCAACCAAAAAAATAAATAAAAATTTTTTAAATAGGCCCAAATGGTGGAGAATTTAAAAATTTAAAACAAGAAAATATTTTTAATTTGGCCCAAATTGTGAAATAATTAGATATATTTTCGACAATAAAAAAAGAATAATAAATAAATCTTTTTTCGACAACGAAGCCGCTTTAAGGAAACAAATGGGATCCTTGAATACTCTTAAGGTGAAGAAATATTTTTGAGAATTCTATTAGATTGATAGAGAATCTTAAAAATTATTTCTAATATTCAACATAAAAACTTAAAACTATTAGAATCAAGATCTTAGGATAAATTTAAAATAAAATAGTACCATCTTACGGATGGGCATGTGAGGGTGCTATAACCTTTTTCATATGTAACCAAACTTTCGAACTCTGTTCTAGTTAGTAGATTCGAACCTATTCTTTTAAGGACTCTTAGTCAAGCTTAGGAGTTTCTTAAAAGAATAGATTCTTTAGGTGTCCAATCACACATAAAAAAAAAGATTAAAAACGACTCTATCCATTTTGTTAAGTTTAGATATAAATTTTTGGATCTATATATTATGGCATGGTACATAAAAAACAATGAAAACATATGATGCGATTATCATTTTCTCAAACAAAGGTTGAGCCAACTAAGCTTTTTCTCTCATTTAAAATGATAACAACAACATAATAATACTAGCAATAAGAAAGATAATTACAACATATGAGATTCATTAATTTTAACGTAGAATGATTGTGACTTTCAATTTTATTTTATTTTTATAGTGGTTGGAGGCGTAAATCTTTAACTCGATCAATATTATTTTATTTTATAAAAAATTCATAAATTAAAATAAAAAAATTTTAAAATATTAAAATTTAAAATTATTCGATATCAATTCTTAAAATGATTACATAAACTAATATTTATTACTCCAATAATTAATTAATTTGCAGTGATATCACACTACTTAATCTATACTAAATATTTATTTTTTCCATTAAGAAAAAAATATAAAATCATAATCATGAGCAATGCCTAATTTGGTCTGGCTTTGAAAATTTGCTATCCTAAACAATTAAGGAACGTCCAAAAAACATTCCATTACCGCCTTTATTCTTGGCGTTAGGAGAAAAAGAGAGCATGGCGAATTAAGGTTAATGGAGATGAATATTCACCTATAGCTCTCCTGAGTTATCCATCCATTGAACTTGTAAATTTAACTCGAATCGAATTGAATTTTGGATAAAATTTTGAAGGTATTAATCGAGTTTGACTCATAAACAATTTTGTGTTTTACTTTCACTAACCCAAAAAGTGAAAAGAAAAAAACGTTTTTCTTTTCTTTTTCTTACTTTTGTGTTCATGGTTCTATTTTTATATAAATTTATTAAATTATAATGATGTTACATTTGAACAATTTACTAATTTCATATCAATTATAATGTTGTTTTTTCATTTTTGTTTTATAATAAACTTTTAAAAAATAAAAAATAAAAAAAAGGAAAAAAGAAAACGTATCAGCTAAAAGGAAGCTGATTACCAACCCTAAACCTAACCTAAATTGTTATTAGTTAAATAAGCCAAACATGAATACCATCCTCTCACTAGACTCTTATTTATTTATGTAAGAAACACATGCTACACATTTTGAATTTTATATTAACGATGAAATCGTAAAGATGATTGTATTTAAAAAAAAAAAAATTAATGAAGTAAAGAAGGAGATTCAGGATTTAATTTAATTAGTATATATAAATATTATTAAAAATTAATATTTAATACGTCTAAAATTTAAATTTTAATATTATTTATAATTTATTTTTTTTTATTTTTAAACTATTACTTTTTTATTAAAAAAATAAAGAAATTCAAATTTAGTCGAATAATGATCATGAAAACTGAATAATTAAGGAAATCGTCTTTATTATCACATGAAACTTTTCAACAATTAATTTTCTTTTCAATAAAGAAATTGGTTTTTACCAATTAAAATTTAATTATAGGTTCATAAGAGACATATTTTGCCGTGATCTAATTCTTAGGGTCAAAAACAGTAAAAATAAAAAATGCAAATGGAAGGACTTAAAAGTTACCCAAAATTATTTTATCGTTTTAGGCATAGATTTGCTTGCAAGTTTCAGAAAAGAATTAATGATGATTGTACCTGTTGTATTGAATTTAGGTAAGTTTCACAAAGGCAAATTCATGAATTTCTAAAAACAAAGTAATTTTAATTTGATTATTTAAATTTCTTAATGCTTGATTTATGTAATAAATTTTTTAAATTTAATTTTTATTTGATTATTTTAATAAAAAATTTACAAACTTGACTTAATTAATTAAGAATTTTTAGCTACTAAGTGTTAGCCTTTATTATTGTCGGTGTCGGAAATTGGAAGCAAAGCAAGTCAACGCTTATATAAGCTCATCATGCCATGTGCGACCGCTAAAAATTGATTTCAGGTCTGCCATGGAAACACAATCATTCTCCATTCACTGCGATTTGCAAAAGCAGAAGCTTTTTCTGGGCATTGATGGATACGATCATCCTTCTCTCTTGAGAGTAAGAACTTGAAAATACAATAAAAAAGAGATCGATTAATGATAAAGGTCAAGAGTTTTTTTATATTTATATTTTGATATTCAAATCAGTATTCGGTCAAGAAGTGAGAAGGAAAATAAGATAAAAGGTATGCAAAGAAGCTAGTATTCCATTTAATTTAGGAGTATTTAGAATGGGCTACTTATATCTGTACTTAGCCTGAGTTCAGCATAGGAGGGCTAAGATTGATGTTGTAGAGCTCATAGTTGAAGATTCAATTAAGAATAACAAATCAACATTCGCATGTGTTCATAGATAATCAATTGAGGTAATTGAGCTGACGTGGAGTTTTAAATTTCAGATTGGTTCAACACTTCAACTCAATCGAAATGATTAAACTGCTCTTGCTTGACAACTACGTATACTCTAAAAAAAATATCCATTTTACCCTTTAAACACTAAAAGGCCCCTAACACATTGTTGAAATGCTCCAAACCCTACTGATACGAAAGGGTTGTTGTTGGCAGGGAACTGTAAATGTATCACAGCCTAGGACACTCCTGCTTTGGAAACAGCCCGACAACCCGACCTTAAAAGCACACCGGGCATGCAATCGATCACCCCCAACAAAATTAAATGGCTGTACTCATGCTGGACCACATCTACAATTCTACATATTGCTGGCCCATGCTAAATTCCTGTGAAAATTACTGCAGGGGGTTACGCAAAGGTCAAACTACGAACTGCTTAATAACTTTTTGTCAGCTTTTCAGGTTCAGTTCAAAGCGTTTTCTATATCCACAAATGTTAAATGTTGGCAATTCAACCAGAAGTGTCAATTAAACATACAATTGAGTCAAGTCTGTGGCAGATAATTTTGGTTTCTCAATGATTTTAGATGCATAGTGAACTGCATAAGCTACAATAAACTTACATTTAAATTAAATTTATTCTTTTGTCCTTTATAGTGATCAAACATCTCTTAAATAACTTTTACACGAATTTTCTGGAATTTTCATTAAAGTTCAACAATTCTTATTTTTTAGATTTGAAAAAATAAATCTCACAAAAATTTATCAATCCAACTTCAATATTTTCAAAAATCAATAAGAACACATTAAGATTAGTCCAAAATTACTCTAAATGTATGGAATTTTTTTTTTTATTGAGTTTGATACTCAAAGTATTTGGATCATTACATTTAAATGTTTTGAGATTAAATTATTGATTTTAAAACTAAAATCAATTTAACTTTGAATTGTTTCAAATTAATCTTTTAAATCATTCAAATTTGAGTTTGTCTTATATTTAAATTAAATGATTTTAAAATAATTTATTTTTTAAATCAATTTAAGTTTGAGTTCGATCGAATTGAATGATTTTTTTTATTTTAGATTAATTTTGTCACTATTAAATTAAAGTAACAAAATATGTTCTGAAAGATGGACAATCAAATCAACGTCTTGATCTGGCCAAAAAAAAAATCAACTTCTTGAACATATGTATCTTTTATAAATATCAAAAGGAGAAGAAAATTGAGCATTTTTGAATTTGTGGAGACATGAGCCGTCAGCGCAAGATTTTCAGTCAAAGGGTAGGGACGAGCAAAATGGTGCTTTTATGTTCAGTGATCGCCATTACGATCCGCATTGATCTCATCAAGAACCACAACCAGAGCAACAACGAATGCATAATCAACATTAGGGTATGCAGTCAGTCCATAATTGTCTGTGTCAAATACCATGGTTTGCACGCTGTGTTTTCTTCGCATCTGCAATATATTATTATTATTATTATTATTATTTATTTTAAAATCCTTGATAAATTTTTTTTGAGAAACTAGATAAAAAGTAAAATATTGATAAAAAATACAAATTAAAAAAAAAGGTTTGCCATTAATTACCTGTGCAATTATATTTTCTCCAGCATATATAGTGCAGCCGCTTTCATACCAGCTCCCTTTGACTATGAAATCAGGCTGTGATTCATTAGTGTTGGATGCCAAGAAAACGTTCAATGTCGTCTTCAATTGGAGGAAAGATGATTTCTTTACACTGAAAAGCAAATCATTGGAGTTGTTGCTTTCTCCTCTATAAACTTGCCATCTCCTGTGTACAGTCAATATCTGACCAAGACAAGATAAACATTACATAAGGTTTAACCTTAATTTGCTATATAACTTTTCTGCTATATCTACGATTAGAGGAAAAAAATAGCCAAAGATTTTTTTAAACAATAGCAATAATTATTGTTGATGGACCATAGATTTAAAAAAAATTTTATTCACTGTCAATAGAGTTTTTAAATTAGTAAGATAACACATAATTAAAAAATCAAACAGTTGTTAAATTTTTAATTTTATTCGTAAAATTAAAAAATTTTACTAATTGTATATAAATACGAATTTTAAATTTAAATACATTAATTAATGATAAGGGTAAATTTTTTTTTATCAAATAAGGTTATTGACTTGCTAACAGCCATGTAACATGTTGATATAGTATTGAAATTTTAAATTCAATGATCAGATTTTAAATTAGAATAATTTTAAATATAAAAAGTAATTACTTATATCTTCAAAAAAAATAATAGGGTTCTCTTGAAGAATAAGAAAACTTATTGATTTGATAATCAATTAAATAAAATTAACGCGTTTTGTTTTTGTATACAAATGAGAAACACTAACGTGTCTGAAAATCTTTGATCCAAATGAGTTGGAACATAAAAAAAAAAAAAAAATTATACTCTGTGTTTTGTCGGACTTATTTTGGTCTGAAATTTTCCGAAAGGTTAGCATTGGTCTGGATAAATTAAACTAAATAAATAAAAAAGGAAACAAATTTTTACCTTCTGTTTAAGAGAGACGAGAGGATGTCCAGCGGCGTCAAGCAAAAGGCGACGATCACGAAAGCTGAACAACTTACCTTTAGCCTTAAAAATAAGGTTACCATCAACGTCGGTAATATCACAATTATTTTCAGCAAGTGTAAATACTCTTTGTTGTATTTTAAGATCAACGGGATATGGGGCAACGAACTGTTCTCCAATCACCACAATGGGGTCACTCAACGGCGTATAGGCATTGGCTGGTGCTGGCATTGGCAGGTTTCCTCCAATGGCTGCCATAATCACTCTAACACGAAAACAGAGACGAAGTTTCCGAGAGATTTCGCAATTTTCCTTCTTGGGTTGTTTTTTATTTTTTATTTTTTTGTCTTTTGCGGTTGATGATGACTTGTTTGACTACCATCTACAATTATACACGCAAGTTGATGAACAAGGCCAATGGCGTTGCTAAAAAGTGGGAATGTCAATTGTGGGCGCATTCCAGGAAATTTCATTGGGACTTTACGCGTTTTGAATCAAATTGTTGCGCCGGTTAGTGATCTGTTGCAACGAATAATTAACTATTAAATAATACAGAATATTTTACCAAAAAATTATCTGGCGCAATATTTATTTAGATTCAGCTTGTAAAAATTACAATTAAAAATGATTTCAACGATGGAATTCAAACCTAATACTATATAATATGATAATTCAACTAAAATTGGATGCCCACACTGTCATTAAAAAATTGGATTTCATTGTAATGGATATCGATTTTAAGTTAATGGTATTGTTCCAAATGCTTGTATCCTTGTTTCAAGAATTGGGTTAAATCTACTTGGGTTAATCTTTTCTTCTAATTCATACACAAATAATTCATTTATTTCTTGAAGAAATTAAAAAAAAAATTACCATCCAAATTAATTTCAAATGAAGATATATAAGGGATAAAGTTGACAAATTTATAATTTAAATATTATATTATAAATTTTTAAATTTTAAATATTGCATTAAATATTTTATTATAGTTTAAAGTCTTTCTTGATATTAACCGTATCTATTTTTCTCAAAATAAAAGATTTAAAGTCAACAATATTGGAGTAGAAATTTTTTTTACCTACTGTGCATGCTAACATAATTAACTATCATGAAGTTTGATATGACGAAATTTCTTAGTTTAGATTTTCTTTAGAGGGTAATATCTCTTAGAATAGTCTTTCATATTTTTTTACTGCAAGGGAGGCCAAAGTCTGACGAGTATAAAGGAAAAACAATTTGAAGTAATCCAAATAATTGAATCTCAATCTTACGATTTTTAATATTTTGTAATGCGTCAAAGTAGGAAGTATTGTTTTTAATCAAACAAAAGCCGCCTTTATTCAACCGTTATGTCAACACTTTTGGCTCTAAGTAAAGCAATTGTTAATCCTAGGCTCACTCCAATACAAAACATGTCATATACTTTCTTTACATTGAAAAAAAAAAAAATCCACTCAATTGGGTACAAATGATGGAAAACTAATTATACAGAGCTAATTTGACAACATAAAGGAAATTATCATAAAACAACAGATTCAAGATTTATCGTTTCCAAGCAATTGGAAACCTTCTCAAACGCCTACGCCCTCAGTACTATTTATCCCATCAAGAATCACGATAAGGGCTACGATGAATGCATAATCGATGTTGGAATAAACTGTCACCATGAACTTGTCCTTTCCTGTCAAGATGCTTTCAACTGTGTGGTTCTTCTGCATCTGCTCACATTAATTCAACAGTCATTAATCAGATTAGAGTTTAAGCACCTCGGATGCTCGTTTTTTTTAATGAACCATTTGTGCATGAACTGGAAGAAAAGAAAAGACTTTTGACTTTGAAGTTGAAGGAAAATCTTACTTGAGCAACGATTTTGGAAGACTCTCCAGCATAAATAACACAGGATCTTTCCAACCAACTGCCTTTAACCTTAAAATCACAGACATCCTCCTTTATGTTGTTTGCCAAGAACACATCTAAATTGGACTTTAACTGAAACATCGAAGATCGTTTAGCTGAAAAGATAAGATCACTTGAGTCCGTGCTATCTCCCCTGAAGACTTGCCATCTATCATGTGCACTTATTAACTGCATCAATAAAAAGAAAACAAGTAAATAAAAGCTTAAAAAAAATGCTTAACTTGAACATATCTATAAAGGCATCCGGCATGCCATTAGGGCTAAATTACGACCTTCTGTTTGAGAGTGACAATGGGATTTCCGGCAGCGTCTAGCAAGACTCGACGGTCATTGATGGTTAGAAAAGTTCCTTTAACTTTGAAAATGATATTGCCATTGCTGTCTGTAACTAGAAAGTTGCCATCAGTGATGGTCAAAATCTTGCTGGCAACTGCAAGTTCAATGGGGTAAGGAACACAAAAATGAGGGCCGATAATCGATACAGGGTTAGCTGTTGGTGTGTTGGAACCAGGGTGTGCCATTGGGAAAGAGGGAATTGATAGCTTGAATTTCGTTTGTTTCTGATATTTTGGTAACACATTCTTGGATGAGGCACCCTATATATAGAAAAGTATTAAGGCTTCTGATAGGCGGAAAGGAGGAGGAAGTAACATGGAAACTGCATAAAGTCAGACAGGCAGTTTTTCACAATTGCCATCTGTAGCCTATGTCCATGAAATTCATTTTTTACTTGGATTATTATACACATTATCCATCTATACGTGGAAACTCTAAAAATGTTAATACTGGTCTATTTAAATATTTTTATAAAATTTTAAATTAATAAATTTATTTTTTAATATATAATTTTTATTAATTAATTAAACTTTAATTTAAATTAACTAGAATTGAAAATAGAATTTATGTGAAATTAAATTATTTAAAATTTTAATTCCAAAAGTGTTAAAAGTGATTGAGTAAAATATACATAGTAAAATTTTTTTTATAAATTTTAATTTAAATGAATTTTTTATTCTTAGACTCTTTTTTTTTTTATATATAATTAGATTAAAAAAATTGTTAAAAGTGATTGACTAAAATACCTTTAATAAAATTTTAAATCCAAAAATGTTAAAAGTGATTGATTAAATTATCATTAGTAATTTTTTTATAAAATTTAATTTAAATGATTTTATTTTTATTAATAGATTCTTTTTTATAAGTAGAATGATTTTTCATATGAAATGATAATACAAATGCAACGGGATCATAGCTTTTTGTGCATAGAAATAAAATAATTATATAAAGTTTGTTTATTTAGTTATTGTAAAAATAATTGTATATGTAGTTTATGTTAATAAATAAATGCATTAAAAAAATCATAATTAAAATATTGAAATATATTTGTTTATTTCTATTTTTTTGTTTTAATATATTAACTAAATATGTATGTTAATGGTTTTATTATTTAAATGTTTTATGAGTTAATTATTTGATTGTCGATAACATAATTAATCTTTTGTCCTTTGAAATAATTCTTTAATATATCATTTTTACAATTTAGTCTAATCTTTATAATTAATTTTTGTTTTGTATTTTTTTCCTCTAGAATTTTATAATTGTTATTTTTATAAATAAAAATAATATTAAATCAAATGCAAATCAATTGTATTCCTTTCACCAACAATTAGTATTATGTGATTCATTGAATATTTTAATTGGATTTTTCACTTGTAGAATTGGATGATTTAAGAGGTTTTGGAGCTATTAATAGTTTAGGATCAAGTATGGTCAAATTGTCATAAAAATTATTCACTTTGATTGAAATAATAATTGATTTAATTTTCTCTCAACTTAATATGCATATTAATTATTAATTTATATCTCAAGATTATCTAATCTTTTTCAATTGTATTAAACTACTTGCTTTGTTGTCATCTAAGTGATTGAACGACCTAATGTGAATTATTCAAAATAAAAATTATTAAGAGAAGTAAAATTAATCATTTTTGGTGAATTCTTTCAAAGTGTGACAAAATTCATTGGAACTAGTTTTTAGATGTGTTTATGCCAAAATTACATTCATTCATAAAAATATATATTGTTAATGCCAAAAATGAAATCATTATAAATTGTATATATATTACATAACAAGTTTGTTATTCTTAGAATTGAATTTTCTTAAGAAAGCATAACAAGTATCAATGTTAGGAATTTATTTTATTTTATTTTATTTTATTCTATTTTAATTTAATTTTTAAAGTTATGTATTTTAATATTTTTTATATAATAAAAATTTATGTATAACAAAAATTTTTACATAAAAAATTAAGATTTCAATTGATAGAACATACAATTACATTCAATTGATGGGAGCATCGATGGAAGATTATTCTAAGCAGAAAAATAAAATAAAAAATTGATTGATTATACATAACTTTATCTTCTCTATATGATAAAGAAAATTAGTGCTATATCTTGTTTTAATAAAAAATATACAACTGCATTGATTTCAAATTTCTTTAAGATCAATATGAAACTCTTTTATTTAGAGAAACATTGCATAATCGTTCATTTTCTCTTTTATATTATTTGAAAAACGTGCACTATTGTATCAAAAATTTTAAAGTTGGCATATTAGAAAATTTTTGTTTAAAAGAATTAAAATTCATCAAATTAATTATCACTTTACATCTAAAATAAAAATTATTATAAATTGTAATTTAACTAAGCCTAAAAGTGATTTAAAGACATTTATTAGTAAAATTTATTTGATAAATATTTTTTATTGTGTATTTAGTATTTCAATCATTTTAAATTTTGATTTTTATAATTTTGAGTTAGATTTAAATTTAGAATCAGCGACCTATTAAGTTGAGTAAGTTTTATCATCTATCTATTCAATGTACTCAATTATTCACTTATACACTTGATCTATTTTGACTCAATAATTGATACTTACATATCTTTATTTAAAAACTAGATTCAAATTGTCCTAAATTCAAATAAAAAAGTATATTCAATTACTTTTAATTGTAATTTTACTTTAGAATATTTTTAAAATTAATTAACTAATGTAACCACTAAGATAATAAAAACAAAATATTACGGATGAAGAAAACAAGCTTAAATAAGGAATTTTTAAATTGTTATAGAAGATGAATAAGAAATATTAAATTCTGATTTGATTACTATTTCTATTCAAAATTTGATTATAATTAATCATTTCAAGTTTTAAATAATTGTTAAGTTGTTAACTTTTTAAAAGTAATTAAAATTGAGTCAAGTTAGTTCATTTTTATAACTAAGTATATTATATTATTTTTAATTAAATTAAAACTTAAAATGAGTAAAATTTTATTTATACTCAATTTGAATTTTAAATTATTTTAAGTTTGAGTTGATTAATCTATATTATTTTAACTATACTTTTATGACATTGGTAATAAACTTCATAATAGAATGGGAACACAATACAATAAAAATTTAAATGCAAAAGTAATCAAGATACTAATGATAATTTTAGAAGAAAATCTTTATGTCCTAGTCTTATAGAGATTAAAAGATATATCTTCTTTTTAGGATTTTGAAATTTGTATTGCAAAAATCTTAATCTACATAAATGAATTTATAATCGTTAATTTGTTGATCAAGTTGTTATTATATGGGCTAAGAAAAATAATTCAAATATTTTATTTGAAAGAGATATCATAATTTATACTGATTTAAGAAGACTATATAGAATTAAATATTATTTAGGTTGTTATGACTTCTTACAATATTCTTTACTCTTTTCAAATGAAGAAGTTGATTAATATCAAAATATAAAAAGGTCTCAGACCAAAAAAACTAAAAAATTCATTTTAAATAATGGTAATAAAAATGAAGTAACATGAAAAATATATCATCTTTTCATTTAATAGTAGAAATTTTTTATGAAAAATGTGAAGGTAATTATTGTGAATTTAATATTTTTTAAAATTATTGTTTGTTCAATTTTTATAAATTTAATTTAGTAAATTTGTTTTCATTACTTTTATCATATATATAAAACAAAATTTTTACCCAAAATTATATACTTAAAGATAGAAACATAGGCCAAAGTTTATTACTTTCATTGGTGATAAAATGCTTAAAACTTTTTAATCTTTTATGCAATTGTACTTTATTAACATGTATGAATATAAATACACTAATAATTTAATCAAATCTTTAATAAAACTTATCTTAATTCATACTAATTAACCATGAACTAAAAAAATTGAAGCATATCTTAGAAATGTTGACTTAATATATGTTGTATATATTTATTTAATTTAGTTTTGATACTTGCATTAGTATAAAAAGTTATGATTTTAACTTATTATTAGGTGCTAAACTATGGATAGTAAATTAAGATTATTTACTCATACTTTCCAAGTTCTTTACACTTAAACATTTTATTACTTTCTCTACCATACAAATTATATTATTTAGCATAAATTGTGGTCACTTTCTTTTTGGATGTACATAAATCAATAATAACATAGTAGTAGATAATTAATAATTTAGTAATTGACAATTAAAAACTTAAATATAATTAGTATAACTTAGAATTTAATTAATAATTTAGCAATTAATAATTTAAAACTTAATGTAATTAATGTAACTTAGAAGTAATTATCAATAACTTAGTAATAAATTAGTGATAACTTAGTAGTAAATTAGTGGTAATAGTAAATGAATGATAATTTAGCAGTTAATAATAATAATTTTTTAGTAAATTAATAATAACATAATAAATATATAATACCTTGATGGTAAAACAATTATAATAGTAGTAAATGCATAACAACATAACACTAAATCAAAGATAACTTAACAAAAAATAAGTGACAACTTAGTCATTAATTATTGATAACTTAGTAATAATTCAATGATAATGTAATAGTAAATTACTAATAACTTAATTGTAAATAAGTGATAATTTAGTAGTAATTTAGTTAATCATTGATAACTTTTTAGTAAATCATTGATAAATTAGTAATAAATCATTTATAAATTTATAGTAAATTATCAATAACTTAGTGATAAATTAACAATTATTTAATAGAAATAATTCATAACTTAATGGCAAATCATTGATTATTTAGTAGTAAATAACTGATAACTGAACTATCAATCATTGATAACTTTTTTATACTTGAAGTTGTCAGGGATTAAACCTTGGTTTCTAGCAAAAAGGAAGTCAAAACTTTTATTTTGAGGTTAGAATAAACCTACTATGAACCTATTCAAATTAACAAAAAATTAATAAAAAATTCTAAATTTAAATAAAATAATAATGTTATTATATAAAAGAAAATTATCTTATATATTATTAGTGAATTTTTTAAATTCCATATTTTATAGTTGTAAATGCATAATATACTATTAAACTAATGATAAGTTAATGAAAAAGAAGTGATAACTTAATACTTAATCAATGATAATTTAATAATAAATTAATGATAATTTAATAGTAAATCAATTTCAATTTAATAGTAATTAATTGATAAACTTAGTGGTAAATTATGAATAACTTAGTAGTAAATCAATGATAATTTAATAGTTAATCATTGAAAACTTACAAGTAAATTAAAATAAC